TACTTCCAGCTTTTTCAAATTTTCTTTGTTTCTGCAGATAACAGATCCGATTTCTCTGACCTTGACGTTGCTTAAATTTTTACGAAGAAAATATCGGGAATCTTTGAATCAATTTACAGGGCTTCCATATATTTGCATTATACTTAGGCGAGTCATATCGGTGGGCTTAATGAAGAAGCGCAGAACGGATTTCACAGAATTACTTTTGTGTGGCAAAGTAGTACAAATCACACCTATTATGTTGCTCTTTGAGTCCTTGTCCCTGTAGCAGAATATAAGCTGCTCGTTTCACTGAGATTCTTAACCCAATAAAAAAAATTACACTTTTACATTCACCTCTGCTTCGCAAAGAACAAATTACTATGTACTACAACAACAGGGGTCCAAATTTCTGCTGGCTGTTCTCTGTAGCGGCATGTGTTTGTACTTTTATGCTCCTCCAGTTGAATTCCGCAATAGACGTCTCAACTTGAAATTCTTCACTACGCATATAACATTGCAGAAAATTTAAGATAGTTCATCAGGCTGCTATCAAATATGCCGTAAAGACAATAAACCGTGAAAAACGAGAATGGCAGTGTCACTCTGCTCGCTCGTGTGTCCTTCAAACTTTCATTAGCAGACTCAAATAATACAGTAGTACATAGACGAATGTGGACTAAATTTGACTCTATAAACAGAATGCGAGTGAATTGACAACAAGATAGTTTCGCTGATTTTTACGATGGAGATGAGAGGATATGATTAATATGGGATATCTGAGTTATTCGACAATAAAGCATTCTTTATGCTCGACACCTTGCGTCATTCCTTTCTTCATCACTATACTTCTAGAACACTTGATTTTCATTATATATGAAGCGAATCTGATAGAACCTTCTTTCACCTTGTTGACTTCCTCAAGAAGTTTGCGCAAATTCGTTGCATCAGGCCGCTTCTCGGGATCGTGATTCCATGCCAACTCCATAATCGCTACCACTTCCTCAGGCATAGCTGGAGGTGGAGGCATTCGGTAACCTCCCATCACCTTTTGCTTAATTATCTTCTCTTTCCTAATTGTTTTGGCAACGTTTTTAGAAAAGAACCTTGACGGTGTAGGCTTTCCATGCAGCATACGGAGAATGATAGGGAATTTCAAACATCTCCCACAACAATACACCATAGGCATAGATGTCTGTATTATAACGAGTCTCACCATTTCGCCAAACCTAAAATAATTCCCTGATATGAATTCAATAGTTTGAAATGTGTTGACCTTGATAGGTACTGACATTTTTAGATACTTGTGCTCTTAACCCTCATAGGTGCACATTAGCGTTTGCTCAGAACCAGGTTTTCAGAACACGTGCCGTCGACTATGACATCAAATATTCTTATAATAAATTGAGCGCATCGATAATTTATGTGATTAAAGGCATGAAGGATGGGTGCGATTGATTATTGGACATAAAAACCGGTCGGCAATGATTGGTAAGCACAATATTCTCGAGCTACCATGGCAGTAAGTGCAGATCAAGTAAATGATGGGGGAATTTGTTGGCCAACAATACTAGCACAACTCACATCTGTACGGAATCTTTTTTTGAGAGTATTTTTCATATTCTTTTGTAGTTTTAGAGAAAAAAATACGATAGAACTTGGTAAACATGTGGGTAAGATGTCAGTAAAGATAGATTCCGACACTTGAAGAGAATAAAAAAGGCTTGGATAAAATTGCTAACAATAAGGCAGATCTCGCATATCTCAGGCCCTCGATTTGAGAATAAGCGCATCATGCCAGTTGACCTTCGTAAGGGTATCGTAGGGAGATTGGAAAAGGGAAGGGAGGGTCGCGTAGCCTCTATAAGGCAGAAAAAACTACCTTCGTCATAAATTAAAGAGTTTCGCGTCTTGATC